TAATCTTAAAACATTATGCCTGCAGGTGTAATTACTAGCAACATTTTGTGAGTCCTGAGAATACAGATAAAGTCCCAAGTTTAAAAGCTTCAGGGTTTACATTATCACACATACCAGGGAAAATGCAAAAGCAGCTGAGCTTTTGTGTATTTAAAAAAAAAAAAGTCACTATGGAAATCTTGTTAGGATGCAGGTCAGATTATAATCTCACATACAAAGGTGAATTTCCAGAATAACTCATTGAAGAAATGAAAACTTAAAATCTGACCCACTGTCTCTAAATCCTTGTGTTAATGAATGATAAAGGATAAGAGAAAATTGTAGTATATGACTCTGATCATAGTACTGGGGGTCAGTTTGATTCTGATGTCACACAAGTGTAAATCAGGAGTGATTCCATAGGAATCAGTGGAATTACACTGCTGTAAAATTGGTGTGGGTAATAGTGAACGTTGATCATTAATTAATATGAGTATTGAGAATTGCTACTTAAGCATTAAAGATGAAAAGCAGTGCATAGTACTAAATATTATCATTAGAAAGACATGCTCTCTATATTTTCTCTCCAAACAATCTTGTTTAATTGTATGTGGTCATGATGTTTTCTTTTAGTCCTTTGACCATGGAAATGATTTTTATTTTCTTTGACATAGAAACATACCTTTCTAATGATAATATTTAGTACTTGTGCACTGCTTTTCATCTTCAGTGCTTAAGTAGCAATTCTTAATACTCACATGGGAATGATTTTTATTTTCATTGACAAATTAGAACTAAAAACATAAAATGTTAATGTTTAGTTTTAATTATATCTTATGACTTAGAGTGTTTAGTACATATAATTTCCAAATTGATAGCTGTGAAAAAAGAATTGTTTTAAAGAAGTACTGTATTTGAATATTTGGAGGATCACTGTATGAAATATGTGATGAAAACACTTAAGACTAGAACGTTGTGGCCTTATGAATGATTAATCTATATAGCTGATCTTTGTGGTCTGGTGGTAGCACATTTCGCTATTCTTCAGTGTAAGACTGAAGATTACTGTGCAAGACTAAAATTTGCTGTCACTGGGGCAAGAAACACTTTGAAGGCAAGACCCCTGAGGAAAAATGTACGTACTGCACTACACTGCAGTGATCTCTCTGGTCAGCTAAGGAGTGGGGCTGCTTGGCTACCAAGAGGGAGATTCAACCTTCTTGGGCTAGAAGGGAGGTGAACTGAATTGAAGAAGGTAATGTAAGAACCTCAGTGGTTTCAAGAAGGGCTTGAAGGACCAACACCATGGTTTTGTGTTAAGGCTTCCTAGGACGATTATTAGCCCAGTAAAGTTTGTGTAGATTTTTCAGTTGAATAGGTTTCAGATCCTGCAAACATGAAAATACAATTATAATTACCACACTAATCCTGTTTGTGTCATTCTTTGGGAATCAATTAGGCTAGTTTACCTGCTCAAGGAATTTGAAACTTGCTGAGAAGCTCTTGGTGTTTATATTGCTTATTGGCTCTTTGTGTTTCTTGTAAACATACAGACAATCAACAACACTGTCTACATGGACGGAATATAAATTTAGGTACGGTTCTGCTTCCTTGAGGATTTTCAATATAAGAACTACCACATGAAATTGAGTAGTTCTGGCACATAAAATGTAAATGATAATAGTGTGCCCTGAACTGTTATGTATTAAATTGGTATAAATCATGCTTCTTAAGAGTGAGTTTAATGTTCTTTAAAAGTTGTGGATTGACAGCACTGGAAAGCTAATGTCTCAGCTGTTAAAAAACAAACAAACAAAAAAGATGCACTGGTCACCATTAAAAGTCAGCATTTGCCAACAGTTTCCACTAAAGATACCAGTTTGGAACTGGAACTAAGGCTAGATACACAAAGGGCCTTCAGTGTTGCAATTTCTAACTTCAAGATGCCTTGCCACTCAGTGGAATTTCACAGTCCCAAGTTAGGTGCCTTGGTTCCTGATACAATGAATGGGGAGCATTAGGTACAGGAGCAGGTATAAATACATGAAAGGATGTGGGGTGCTTGAAATACAGTTAATTAAATAAAACAGGGCTATGGGAATGATTCTCTTTTTATTTCATTTAAGAGTTTCTCCCCCCACCCCAGCCCTTCTTCTGTTGTCTCCCTAAAGTGCTTATCTGTGGCAACAGCAGTTTTGGCCCATAGTGATGGAGTGGCTAGGCACTGGGTTAGATTTAGTTTTTAGTTTGAAATGCTTCCAGCCATGAACTCTGTTTGGAGTCAGAATCAGTCTACCAGTAAAATAATAGTTGGTGAAAGTTTTTTATAAAAAGTTTGAATTTACACCCGTCTCCCCCAGCCAGCCATCCACATGCGTGAAAGAGCAGAGCTCCTCTGGGCTGGAGTTCTTGTGTGCTTGATAGAACGGCCATGTTGTTCTCGAGGTTGTGTCGTAGAGGGGAAATTAATAAAACCTGTGAGAGAATGTTGGCAAGTGAAGGACTGTGGTGAGAAATTCTCTCTCACAGCTCTGTGATCTGCCCATGTTTCAAGCCTGTATTACTCTTTGTATTATTTTTTATGTTTTCTTCTGAAGAAATAAATCTCTTTTCTCAGCAGCAAGTTAGCAAATCTGTATTCTATATTTGTAATTTAAGGGATACAGTGGCGCAGGTTAGTAGATTAGCAATTCCTTAACTGGGGTAGCAAGTAATGTTCCATAACTGATCTTACATTCCTCTTTTCAAATTGAGCATCTCAAACTTTGATAGTATTTTGTGCTAAGCAAGGGCAATAAGGTATTTATTGATGATTACCTGTTCTGTTCATTCCCTCTGGGGCAACTGGCATTGGCCACTGTCGGAAGACAGGCTACTGGACTAGATGGACCCTTGGTCTGACCCAGTATGGCTGTTCTCATGTATTTCTAAGCCTTTACTAAAAACTTACTGAATGAACCTATGAAATTCAAATCAATAAACTCCTTATTCAAAATAGAAAGAAATGAAATAAGAGTATGTAAAAATGTTCCCAGAGAGCTTAGTAATAGCTAAGAGTGCTCTTCTCCATAAATATATGTCAAAGTATATTCTTTAATGCATAATCATTAATAAAAAGAGTGCTCTTTGCCTAAGATAATATGTTACTGTGCTTAGGAGAATGAATGGGATAATGTATAATATGAGAGAAAGCCAGATTAAAAATATGAGTACATCTCTTACCAGAGTGAAAACCCAAATGGCTGCATAAACAGCACGGAAACATTCAGAGATGCCCTGTAGTATGATGACAGGCCATAACTTCATGGGTAGAGTAGGAAAGCAAGTATTATTTTCACAGACCATTTGTATTTCTGCCTTTTCAGTACACTTATGAGAGTGTTTAGGATGCTATAGATTCAATATTCATCATCATAACAGTCGTTAGTACAAAACATTGAGGAACTAAGGGCTAAAGTGTTTCAGAGTAGTGTATTGTTTTAACAGTCCTTCAGTTAGCACCCCCAATGACATGTTTATGTAAATTATATATAGAGGTTGTTCCTAAGGACTTATCATACATTTTGAATGGAAAATCCATTTAATAGGGTCTTGAGTTTAAAGCACAGAGTTTAAAAATCAGAAGACATGGATTCTAGTCCCAGTTCTGACACAGCCTTTCTGTGTGACCTTGGGTAAGTCACTAGGTTTCCTGTTTTGTAAAACAGAGACAATAATGCTTATCTTATTCCTGGGAGTGCAGGAAGGCTAAGCTAAATGAGGTTTGCAAAGCATGCTGAAATCCTGTGATAGACAATGCAAAGTGTAGTTTTATTAATAAAATTTCCTCTGCTAAATTGGAGATTAAAATTTAGTTTTAGTAAAAATAACCTCAAGTATGGTAAGATTAGTAAAGGTTTATAATTAATGGGGCCTAATTTAGAGGCTGTAATCAATGAAGCCGCTATTAGAAATAGGTTCTGTATGTTGTTAGTAATGTCTTGAAAATGTTCATAACTGTATGTCCTTTCCAAATAAATACTGACGAGCAAACACTATATATTTCGGAGTTCAGGATCAGTTGAAAGTTGACTCTGCAAAATTGGTTTGGAAATCTCTCAAGAACAGGTTTTCTTTACTTAAAAAACTTTTAAAATGTTTTATTGTTTTACATAAGAGTTTGTTTTAAAAACTTGCCATTTAATATTATTACTGTTTAGTCTTTATTTTTAATAATTTCCCATTCTAAGCATAGGGAGTACTATTAAAAAAAAAAAATAGGGCGGTAAGTGCTACCTACTCTTATGGACCACTACTGTGATTTACCTGAGTACACTATATATCATGTTCAAAGTCAGCAATGAAAGGGGGTCCAAAATTAACAAGCCAAGGAATCAAAGACAAATGGAGAGCGCCTGACAAGGCATCCAACTCAATGGGAGTGTTGCCAGTGAAGTCAGTGGGAGCAGAATTGAGCCTTGAGGGAGGGGGAAAATAATAAATACTAAAAAAATTCCTTTGAAATGTTGATTGCTGAATTATAGGGCCACAGAGATAAGGCATTTTGTCTTTTCCTTTTTTCGTCCAAATGTTTTGATTTTCCCATTTTATCTTAAGTAGAGGCTTGCTGGGTGTGGTCTGACTTTACCAGGAAGGGCAGTTTGTGGAAAGATTCAATGTGTGACTGGGATCTTGATCGATTTTAGTGGGATCTGTGGGTGCCCAGCACTCCTGAAAATCCGGTCACTTTCACTTAGGTACACAAATATGGATTTAGTAGCCTAAAGTTAGGCATTCAAATTTGGAAATGTGATGTTCTAAAAGCTACTGAGCCGCTCTTTGTGAGTGTCTTATTTGATTGTACATGTTTACTAATTTCTAATAGTAATATCTTTTTTAATTTATAAAACATCCTCCTCCTGCACATGAGGCTTCCAAGGCACTGAATGGACAGTTAAAGACACTCAAGTAAACAGAAGTATTAACTTTCAGTTCTCCTTTGTCTGAATTTAAGTGAATTGCTTTTTTGTTTTATATTTTAGCATTTTCAGACCATGTTGAAGACCAAGTTGAATGTCCTAACTCTTCGGAAAGAGCCTCTTCCTACAGTGATCTTCCATGAGCCAGAAGCCATTGAGCTGTGCACCACAACTCCATTAATGAAGACCCGGGCCCACACTGGATGCAAGGTATTTGAAAAATCAAAAACCCAAAATGCAAGACAACTGTGGAATTGTTCCACACATATAAGAGGAAAGTGGAAAAAAAATCATTTTGTTATTTTGGAAACCTCATTAAATAATGCTAATACTCTGAGGTTTATAAATCAAAAGAATCTTTCGGCTTTTTTAAATTAACATTCTGCTCCTTAATAAATGAGGTTCTCATGCATAGAGAATGAAATCCCAAAGCAGTTTTGCAATCCTGGCAATAAATTGCACTTGGATCCTGGCTTCCATAATTGCTTATTATACTTAACACGTAAGTGTTTTAGTGATGGTGTCATTTCACCTTGGCTGATTTAAACATGATTATCGGTACTAACACCGAGATAAAAGATGAGGGTCCCAGGCCTAAGCACCCTGTTTAGTAATCCTTACTAATGTGCATATTAACCCATTGAAATGGGTTTGCAGGATCAGGCTTGAGATCATATTTAAAAATAAAGAATTAGACCTTGAATTAGTTAACCAGCAAGATGGCTTTGTCCAATTACAGCAAACCACAGCTCCTGAAAAAGTGTATTTGTCCTCTAAACTGCTTAAGTGCATAAAGTACTTTCTCTTCTGTGACTATTTAACAATAGTGAACAGATCTGCTGGTCTGTCTGGGTATATCTGTTTAAATTAGTTACAAAACTAGGTTAGCCCAGTGGAGCCACAGATGCTATGGGAGATTGAGCTGGATTCTCAGTTGGCTTGTACATCATCAACAGGATTGTTAGCTAAGTTCCAGTTGCTGAGCCAGATACATACCTGAGCCCAAAGGTAGTGAGAGAACGGGTCTTGTAGTCTTGGGTGTCACTTGTCGTGCAAGACCCTAGCTGTAAAATAAAACTCTTTCTGATATCACAGTGGTAGGTGAAATAGAAATTTCAAGTTACAAGTAAAACTTACAAGATCTTTTGTGCCTGTTGTTTCTGGTAATAGCCGTTGAGATATTGCCATTTGGTAGAGGTGTGGAGGGAGAGGTTGCTTGATGGTGGTTTCCTATGCCTTACACAGCATTCTCAGTAGGTAAAGGAAATGAGTTGTGGGTACATTATGAAATGAAATGCTTTGCAGTGTTACGCTGCTTTTTCCTGGCATGTTGGTCACCAGTGTTTTATGAGCAAACCTTTGTTCTAGGAAGTTTGACATTCTTGTGGCTCTTTGCTGTGAGTGCAGCTGAGAAGAGCTCATGTTCAGTATCAAGTGCCATTACTGCATTGTGTTGATACTGTAGAACACAGGACAAATGAGCCCTACACAATATTATACGTCATTGCTACTGTCTGAGGTTTCCCTAATGATGCCTTTTGTCCTTTGTGTTGATACATAATGAAATTTGGAGAACATCCGTAGTCAAAAGTATGGACTGTGAAGGGTCTGGCTTTCACATCTTGTGTGATGGGGTTAGGCGTAGCAACACTCTCTGAAAGGAAATTTAACTCTGCCTCTGAGAGTATGATGGTAGAGTTCAAATCAGAGAGTGCTATTTGACTCATCCTTCGGTTCTTTAACAAATGAAATCTCTTGTACTGCAAGTGAAGGATGTTGTAGAATGAGTTGGAATCTATAGCAGTCAGAATCCTATTCCATATTTAGCTTTTTACGAATTTATGTGAAAAAGCATCCTATATTTGGCTGAGGGGCACGTGAAAATATCAGCTACCACTATATACATATCTTCTTCCCCTACTTGTCAATGGCAACAACTGTATGTCATGTAGTGTTGTAGTCCATCTCCTTGCCAGAATTGTTGCCTACAATGTAGTTTCCAGTGCTTTGTTGAGTTAGTCTCAAATGACGCAAGAGATGAGGCTTCTAGTACCTTTCCTAGGAGACCATTCCGTATTTGCATTGCTCTCACGGTTAAGAAGTTTTTCTTAGTTATTAGCTCAATTTTTCCCTTTCCCTATTTTACCTCATTGCTACATTTATTTATCCTTCCCTTCAAATATTTGTAGCTGGTTTGGCTTCCTCTCCCCTTGAGGCTTAACACCCTCCCTCCCCCCGCAGCACTTTAGTGACTAATTCATTTTTACTTCTGCAGGTAACTTTTTCAATAGCAATTGCTGTTTTTCTTTTGCCCTTTGGTTAGATCCACCAAAGGTCCTAGATGAATAATGAAAAACATAGCAAATAGAGTTGGGTAAATAATATGCGACTATCTGCTGGGTGAATAATTTAGGGAAAATTTAATTGCATAATTTTTTTTTAAAATTGTGAAATTTAGCTAAATTATTCAGCAAATGTTATTCAGGCAGCTTTACCCTACCACAGTTTCCCTCCACCATCCAGCTTTAGACTGTTGAGTAAATTTGCTTGCTAGATTGATTTCTGAAAAAAAGGTTCACCCAGCCTTTAAAAACCATCAGATTGCCTCCAGTGTCTGCATTTCCTTAATCTGTATTCCTAGACTTGCCTTTTTCCAATCTTATCATATCATTCTAGGTTCAACAACATGACTCCACCAAGCAAACGCACACTAACACAAACAAGATATAATTTACATTTGATTTTGCAGCACAGAACTGCAGTTATTCCACGTTCAAAATTCTAACCGTCCTGGTCGCTCAGTGCAATATTAACTTACTCAGTAGCACAAGTTCCAGCTCCTCCTTGCTATCCCTGCCCTTCTTTTCTCTACCCTCTTTCTTTGAAATTCCAAACATACTGGCAAGAGCACGGCTGCAGCCTCAGGATTTCAAGCCTGAACACCTCAGATGCCATTGCAGACTCTGCTTGTGATTTCATATAGTTCATGATGCAGGCCAGCGCAGCCAAAACTTCCTGGGTAGTGTGTGCTGTCAAAGATTCCAATATATTTCTTAAGATGAACAGACTAATTTATGAGAGAGGTGAGGTCAGAGCCCAGAGTGTAAGCTTGTGTTCTACTTCTACTGCTGACACTGTGTCCTGCTTATGGTCTTGGGCAGGATACTCTGGTCTTGATCCTACCCGCTGCTGAGACCCCTTATCTCTCAAGAAAGTCAACAACATGGGTGCCAACAAGATTGGATGCTGTTTTTTTCCCAGCAATACTATGAGGTTTAATGTAGTTAATGTTTGTAGACAGTGACAAAAGAAAAGTGTTTAGCGTTTTGGTCACAACAATAGTAGCTGCTCTCAAGAGAGAAACAAAACACCTTGGTTAATCATGGACCTGTACATAGAAATTCACTATGTGAGTTAAACCAAAATACAGCTGGGAAGGGGAGGAGAAGGCTAAGAATAAATGTTTTATTGTTTCCAGCTCACTTGTTGGGCCAGATTTTTAATCATTGGTTTCTAAATTGCCCCCTACCAAAAATTAAATACATATCTTTTTGTATGTACACATGAGTGCAATTTAGATCCCCATATATGAAAATTTGGCTCCCCCTTGTTCATATGCTGAAGATTTAGATTTGATTGTAGTTATCTGACTTGTAGCTCTTTGATTATTAATTGTGATGCATGCTCGTGTTTTCAAGTGGAAACTTTCTCTCCTTTCAGCACAACACTAAGTACTGTAGCATCAGGTAGAGATTGGAAACCTGGAATACTTCCCGAAAGTAGGTTGCTCAAAATGGTCACTTCTCAAAAGTAGCTGCTTCTACTGTCCCTTTTAACAGATTTTTTTTAAAAGTTTTATCCTTATCCTTTGAAGAAAATCAAATATTATATTAGTTTATGCAGATTTCAAGGCTTCTTGTTTTCTCTCTCTTAAAGCTATGGAGGCATTATAAGGGATTTTGTGTACTCTGCTTCTGCTTTTCCAGGCATTGTTACTGTAATGCAAAAGGACAGAGGTTAAAAATGTTGCCTTGTAACTTGTGAAGTGGTGTCATTGGTTGAACATTTGTATTAAATTATAAGGCTCTTCAATGTGAAGTCTGTATTGCAGAGTCAGTGACCAGAGTCAGTAGTGGTTTCATTCAAATGTAGTGATCCTGCTCTGAGGGCAATTTTCATTCTTCCTGTTTCCATCAGTTTGGATGACATAGTCCCTTATACTTGGATTGACCAGGAGGTCTCGATTAGAGCAGCATGAGCCTAGCAAGGAATATTATTAATCAAAGCTGATTTGCCATAGTTTAGGTACAACTCATTCCTTTCCTAGGGATAAGCTCTTGTTAAATGGCAACATAAATTTCCATGATACAGCATTTTCAGGTATGATACGTTGCCTGTGATTTTTCTTTTTTATTTAATTGGGACGATTATTAAATTCAAGCTCTTTGCTCATCTCTGTTGGAAATGTAATATTAACATTTCTGAAATGACTTATGTGAGCTTAATGCTTTTAAAGTTCTTTTCAAATAAGCTGGCAGGTAACTTGCATAGGTGGCATTAGTGAGATAATGACATTTTAAAACCAAATCTGACTCATACTGATAAAGAAGAAAAATTAAGAATGAATGGAAGCAGGTTTAATTTATGCCTGTTATTCTGGAGTTGGTGAAAAGATATTTTCACCAGCAGTAGAAAGGACCTAATCCTGTGTTTGGAGTGCCCAAATGGTAGTGGTTAGTGTAGTTTGTGTTCTGTGCACGGTGGGGGTCCTGGCCCACAATTGGAGCTTCTAGGTGCTACTGCAATATACATTATACTAATAATCTTCTGTACTTGGTGTATGATATGTCTCTGTTGAATATTGAAGACCCTGGGCCAAATCCTTCTCTTCATTAAACCTGTGTTAGTTCATTAACTTTATTGGAGTTACTCCAGATTTAACAAGCATGACATAAATCAGAATTTGACCCTCAGTGCAAAAATCCATAATTAATTTCTAGAGTTAATAGTAAGCGATTTGCTCTCATGCCTGAAAAATAATGATCTGATTATGTCCAACACAAATAAGAAAATTATCATCAGGATACTCGTAAAATAGGTGTACTAAAGTTGCCCTCCTGGGCCTGATTCTGATCTTCTTTATATTCGAGAAATAATGCCTGTGAAGTCACCAGAGTTGCACCAATTTGAAAGCTGGGGTAACAATAGAG